ACACTTAAATTTTGTGGAGGTACGTAAGTTTGTTTGTGAGTTGCCATGGATCAGGATTTTGTCAAAGAAAGTATCTGTTCGAATAAAAATTTGAATAGTATTATTGATTTTATTGTTGAGATGGATAAAATTATTAAGAAGTGTGGAATAGCAAATCTTTGCAATGCGAATTATCAGCAAAATAAACCAAGTTTAGAAGTATTTATTTGGTTATTCACTAGTTTTATTGGAGTTAGGTATTTAGTAATTGTATCAGTTAGGAGCGTGTATGTGTTTTATTCAATAATTGTTGATGTAAGTGGTTTCTTACCCAACAGTCTGGTAGGTTATAAATAGACGATTAATTGTGATATTTTTTCAAAGAGGGTTTAGAAGAGTCTATACAATTTTATTGTAATGTGATTTTCTATACACGGAATGTATTGAATTTATAAAACTTGAACTTCTATTTTAACAAATTCAAATTTATATAGTTATCATTCATCTAAAATTCCTGACGGCATATACGCTAAGATTAATCGTTTTTCCCCTCGTAATTTCAAATATTGAATTCCACAATTTGGCAGGAGAAAGAAAACGTAGTGATAGTTGCAAGAAGAAAAAATGGCTACTTTCAAGGACAGTAATATATGCTAGCTTTACGTGTTCGCTGCCATTTGCTTAATCGGCTTTAGGGTACCTTTGGGAATTGAGGATTTGAACGGAAGAGAAAGGGAAAGAAGAGAAAGCCTGATTTTTCTTTGTTTGTGAGTTTTAAGTAAGAGAGAAAAGAAAGGAAATGGGAGGATGAATAGTGGGCAAAATTTTTCCTCCCAAATTGGAGAGAAATGAAGAGAAAATTGGAGGAACCTTGTAAAAATTTTTTAAAATGCCTCTTCTATCCTTAAAAATGCCTTGAACAAATACTTAATGACTTTTATATCCAAAACCAGTCCACTAATTCTCAAAACTCCCAAACAACGTAACAATCATTTCTCTCCTCTTCTCTTCTCTCATAACTTAAGTTTTCCCTTCTTCTCTTTTCTATCCTAAACTCCCAAACTTAGCCTCAGTGCAATGACAGGCATCCAAATAATGAATGGTGGGTTTAATAAAGATCCTCGGGCTGTTGTAATCAATTCTTTATGTTTCGTAGTTTCCTTTGTGGTTGGAGCTGTGGTGGGGTGTAAATGTAGAACATCTGCTACGACATCTGCGGGCAACAATGCTGAAACGGTCCAGATGGGAAGTATTGCTTAAACCGTCTTTGTAATCAAAGTTTGATTAATACTAGGATTCCTAGTTTTGCTATCAATTGTAGTTAATTAATTTCTGGTTTGCTGATGTTGGGACATTAGAATTGGTTTGTGTTCATCCAAAGACAAACTAATTTAATTTCTAGTCTTTTTCTTTTTCAGAATTATGTGTTTTACCGGTTTGGTTTTAGGATAATTTTACATCTTCTTGTACTCTTTTTTTTTTTATTTTGTTTTTATTTTTCTGACACAATTTAAAACTCTAAAATTGTTGCTTCTCAAATTGATATTGAAAAATAAGAATATTGTAGACGTTGTAACTTAAAAAAGTTACGTAGAACTCTTGTCCACTTGTTCTGATTTGAAAGTACTTTTCACATCTTTAAAATCCCTATACAATTAAGGATTGGGAGGGTTTTAATATGTTTTGTAACTTCCAAAATTATTGTGGTTTTTAGTGATGCTGCTAAAAATACATTAATGTTAGAGGATCTTTCCACCTTTTTTTCTTTCTTTCTTTGTTCTTGGGCTCTAAAAAAAGGCAAAATTGCTTTAATAGCTGTGATGTTTCTAGCGTGCAATTTTTAACGAATCCATGAGGCATTTAAAAACTTTATCCACTTTCCATTAATGACTCCGTCTGGAGTCCCAAAAGTCATTATATAAGGGAATATAGGTTTGGTTTGTAAAGTATAATTTGATTACATTAACAGTCTTAGATGTTTCTGTCCACCTTAAATTATTTCCTAGACTTTATATCTAGACAACTAAGCACATTTTTTAGCATGAATCTGGAAAGTTATGGATGGACACAGACAATTAGTGATTCATATATAGTCAACAAACCAGTAAGCAATGTCTTGGCATCATCCAACAATAGACATGCAAAACTGAAATCCTCTTCCTTCTAAAGCAAAGCTTGAGTAAACTATTGGGGTTGGGCTAATAATCAGAGAAGAGCGTTCTTAAAATCTTTTCTGCTGTGAGATTTAGGGTTCGAATTCTGTAAATTATTGGAGTTGAACCAGCAATCAAAAGAGAGTTCTTAGAATTTTTCTTACTGTCAGATTTAAGGTTCGAATTCTATATTTGACAGTTGGAGATGAAAAGAGTGCAAGGACATGCGGAATGGTCACAAAGGAAAAAAAAAAAAAAAAAAGCTTGAATGATCACAGCTGCATCAATAAATCTGTTTATAAATAAGTTTAAACATTTTTTTTTGCGTGACCATTATGAAATTGATTAATCATGAATCATTCCAATTTTCCAGCAGATTTTGATATTTAAATACTTCCATTACTTTTCTGTTTTTCATGGGCCCATAAATTATCTGGGCCAGGGGGCTATCCATTGAGTCCCACTTATTATAGCCTTTCGACAAAATCACTCCACAGAATTTCGTCAAATGGGCTCAGCTGCCCTCCCAGAGATTGTGGGCTATATAGGCCATAAGTACAATATGGTGTGTTTTTGGTGGAACGTTATAGCTACAGACAATTTGGTGAAAACCACACAATTGAATCCTTCTTTTCCGGTAATTCTTTTGTAGTCTGACATTATGTACATTATCATCGTTAAATTTATAATATATGTGTAAAATTTAAATTTAAAATTTACATAGTTATCATTCATCCAACTCTGACAATATATCAGCGTAAAATAGATTAATCCTTTTTTTATATAAAACTATTGAAATTCAAGAACTCACATTAGTGAAAGTAATACACACAAAGGACAACTCAAGATAATTGACCAATTGTGAGAATTACAATTCAATACTACAAACTTAGCTTATATAAGAAAGTTCTATTAGTGAGACTTGAATCTAGGATTTAGTGATCTTGAACCTTCAATCTTAATTATTAGACATAATTGCTCCTAATCACTAGAACCCACGTGTAACAAGAAAATAGGAGAAAAGCTTTTACCTTGGATTAATAATTTACTTTGCAACTCTAATTGGCACGTTACCCTACATTTCTTTTCGTGTCCTTGATGTTTATCCAACCGTAATTTAATCTCTCTTTTCACTGCCTCACCTAATCTTCATCACATATTTCCAACATCAACAAAAGTTGGCACAATCTAGCATAGGTGAAAACTTCTATAATGATCACAAGGGTAAAACTCAAAGGAATAATGCAAGAAATGGACTTTTTACTCCCTTGAGCACTGGCTGAACGAAAAAGGACAAATGGAGAAAAAGAAAATCCATCTATTGCATGCATTTGACAGGAAACATTCGGCCTCTCTATCATCCAAAAACACACGAAATTCTTGTAGTTGCTGCTAGTTTTATGTATTGACTAGATTAGTTTTTTTCCTAAATAATCTATGCAAAAAGAAGTAATTTTTCTCTGCCTTGTTTTGAAGGAAAATTAACTTAAAATCTGTCGAGTAAATACCATGGATTGAGAGACCATAGTTTAGAAAAGATACAAGCGTATACACAAAACACATCCTGCAAATGATCGAAGAGCTTTACTTCATTTGGCACTAAATGAAAATCTCCACGAGAAAGTAACGTACTCAGCTTTGTTTTATTTTCACAACGCATTTAGAAATTTTGGTTTCATCTTATTTCATTGGTAAAATATCAGATGATTAAGTAGGAAACCTCCATCAATATATAAGCCAAAAAAACACCAGCACTTCGTCACTAGATAATTAAGGCAGAAAGAACTGTCAAAAACCTGCCACGAAAGACCCTCCATGAAAAGTAAATTTGGCGAATAATGGTTGAGAACTATCCAAATTAGCTTCCACGCTACAGCTAAAACGTAATGCAGAAACCTGCACAAACAAGCTTTTCGCAACGGATCTTCTGCACAAATAGACTGTTGTATCTTATTTTTACGCAATTAATAGTTATTGGATCTTAAGAAAACAAATAAGAATTAAAACATGATGTTTATGAATGAGAAATAGTAATATAATAAAAAGTGGGACAAAGAGTGGCACAGGGAGTGAGACAGAAGATCCGTTGCACAAACTTTTTGATTCATTCTATAGAATTAACTCTTGCCATTACGAATTTGCGATTTCGAGCCACCTTGAACTTGCAAGAAGCACATAATCAATATTCATCAAATCAACCAAATTACAATGGTTATTTGAAGCACATACAATCAAATAAATCAATACATAGATGATAGAACATTAATTAAGATTAAGTAGGGCATTTCAAATAAGTATTAATTTTTGCATAATTAGTGCCTAGTCTCATAAGTCCTAGTTAATAAACGATACTTTGTAGCAGTGTTCAATAAGGTCCGTTTGAATGGATGGATTGGGGTGAAATCCAAATTCCTCCTAAATTAGCCAAACAAGTTAGGGTGATTGATTGGGAATATGAAATCTACTAAAAAGTGGAAGGGAAGTTTATAGCTAAAAAGAGTGGATTTTAAGTTCTCCTAATTTACTTGTCATTTTCAAATCCTTCCATGTACTCCTTTCTAAATTCTTTTTAAGCATTTGTTATGGTATGGAATATGGATTGACTATGGAGTTGGAGCACGGCCAAGTAATAGGACCCTACTTTGGTAGAATTTGCTGATGTTAGAACATTAGAATTGGTAGAATTTGTTCATCCAAATACAATTAATTTCCATGCTTTATAAGAATTACTTTGTGTTTTCAGTTTGGCAAATTAACTTCTGGATTTGTGACAACGTCTTGAGCACTTTAACTTGGTGGAGTTTGGTCGTTCAAGACCTTATATTTACTTCCATCTCTTTGTTTACTCTTTATGTTGTTTTTTTTTTCTTTTTTGTGGGTCACGGTTTAGGACACATAAATTGTTGCTTCACATATTAATGCCACAGAATCTTCGTAATAGGTTTAACAGTTAACATCTTGTAATGTTTCTAACATGGAACTTTTGGGCCAATAGGTAATCTTTTCTACAGTTTTTTATTTCCGCAACGATAACATTCCTACAACCCAGTCTATCATATTCTACAGGGAAGGGGGAGCCAACCTTTGGTCCAAGCCCTTCAATACGTAGTATGGCTATGTCAGAGAAACCACCTTTTTAATGGACAAAGGATCACCATTGCTTCTTGAAAACTTCTTATTTCCGTTCTCAGAGCACCACATTAATCTCCATCATCTACCAATTCAAACGGCCTCATTAACATCATGATTTGTATGCTAAACATAACTTCTTGTTAGCATATTTCTACCTAAGAATCTTAAAACATATAGAAGACTAGAGATAATCCTCCGTCGCTCTTCCTTTTCCAGATAAAAGCTCACAAGTCCAGCCAGCATGCCTGGAGCAATGAACCTCTATGGTTGTTAGTACAGAATCTGTAACTAAAATACTCAGTCACCAAGTTTGACAAGATATTCTAAGTTATTGTCATCTTCTAACATCTCACCTAGTCGAGGACTCAAACTATGATTGTCATGTTTGAAATTTACCCTGTTTGTCATTTATTATCGGATACTTGTGGAACAATTTCAGGACTAAAAGTTTTTATTTTCATTAACTGATGTGCTAAAATGGATTCCTGATGTGACATTGATGTTGTGCAGACAATGGTGACGCAAATAGTGCTCCATAAACAGACAAACATGCAGAAAGAAGTCCATTTCAGCTCAATTGGGGGTACCCATCCCTGCACTTGCAATGGTCTGAATGAAAATTAATGAAAACGCACAAAGCTTTTTACATTGTCCTATGATAGATCAGCAAGGTGGTTAATTAGATGCGAAAGTTCACCATTTTGAAGGGCTAATCTCCAGTGGTTTCAACATTAGGCCAGCCTTGATCTGCTTGAAGCTTCACAAATGCAGCTAAAAGTTTAATGTCCTCTTCTTGTAATCTGGGACCGAATGTGCATTGGCCCCTTGGTGTACAATTCTGACCAAATCCCTACAGCAGGAATAAGGGCATACACTATTGTCATCTAGAAGATCCAAATGATCAGATGTACCTCTTATTATAAACTTACGGGCATTCTTCCCTTGCCAGAGTATGTTACACGATATATTTCCTCTTCCGTGTCAATGCCGTTTCTGTGTAATCAGGAGATTGGTTAGTACATCCAACCTGCAACAAGCCCTTGTAATTGCTTACATTTTTTATGTCGCTACAAAGTATATCTACCGCATAAATTTTAATGTTCAAAAGTTTTGTTCTTATTAGTGTTAAATTTGAGTTACAACTATTTTCTAACAAGTGTTAAAAGTAACCTTCAAAGAGTGATTGAAAAAGCAAATGACATACTGGCACAAGGTAAAACACAGATTGGACTCTTGACTATTTCTTAGTTTTTTTTAGAAGGAGACTATTTCTTAGTTATTTTCGAGTTTTCCGTTCATTGCCTGTTCATATCATTTAATTCCTGACTTTGGTTGATGCTTATATCATAAGCTTGCTGGTTCATCTTATTGCTATGTTTAGATTGAACAGAACAAAAATGCCCACATATGCTTATGGGAGCATGTACATGATCTGCCCACAGAACACAGACACACAAACCAGTAAATAGCTAATTATTTACAGCCTTACACAGAAAGAATCAGACTAGGGAAAGAGAGAAATACGACTCATCCATCACTTTCCACCTCATGGATAGATTAAATGTGGATAGTTACCTCTGCAGATCTTTCAAGAAGAGTGTTTCACCCTAGCGCACAACCAAATCAAAGAAGTTTAAGCTTAGCCTGATACTGTAGACAGTTATCTGGAACACATGGAACTGGATTATGCTCACCGGTTGTATTATGTTTCCACCTGCATCATGGCAACCAATGCAAGCTTGACGAAACAAGTTAGCTCCTTTTTGTATGTCTATCGTTTGCCCAAGTGAAACTGTTAAAAAATAAAAAAGCAAAGAAATAAACATCTATTAGAAAGAGCATATATCCATCTATCTATGCTAAAAGAGATCAAGAAACTTACAAAAGTTACTGAACTTCTGTGGGACTTCAGAAAGTCCCTAATAAAACAACAATGATCTTCTTTAAAGAAAATGAATTGATAACGAGAAAACAAGAATGGCTGATAAAAATGTTCTGCAGAAAACATGGGTACCAAAAAGCATGTTCGTGACCCGGCACATAAGTTACCAAAAAGCATAAGTGGATGCAAGTACAAAAGGTATTTTTGTTACAGAATAAGCATCAGAAGTCAACCAGAAGTGTAACAAGAAAATTAAACTAGTCAATACTCATCCTTTCCTCAAAAGCACAATTCACATAGTAAATATTAATGCTACTGCTATCTTGATAAGGAAACCATGTACAGCAGTGTTCCAACATAAAACTTTCACTGCATGTAGAGACACAGTTAACAAATTCTTGTACCATATGTAAGAGTACAAAGCTACGTAGGTAACTCAGAAGTAGAGAATCAATACAAGAACACCACTGGTTTCCAAATGTTGTTCTGTTACTATATACATGCCAAGACTAAATGCAATTTGACATTTTCCAAACTGCTAGGGCACAACTAGTTTTTGCTTCTTGCAAGCTCTTCATATCACTCAATCACCAAATCTATATCTCTATGATGTAGTCATACAACCATTTAATTTGACTGACCATTTATTTTGTTGGCTCAAGTACAATTGCACTTCTTTGAAGACTTCATCAGATGCCCTATAGTTTGAGGCATAAATTGCTGTCACATTTTCCTATTCCACCTCTTCCCACCCATCACGCTTATGTTGTTATCAGCAGAGCTGAAGTTGTATGTCTTTCTATGATATAGACTCATAGATGAAATAAGAACTAGAATGGAACGTATTACTGCTGTTTCTTAAGGACCCAAAAGCTCTCAAGTTTAAATGATCAACTAAAATCTATCCTCTATTGCCTTGCCTTATTCACGCAGCATACATTTTATACATGAAAGAGGACCTACCACTGAAAAATCCTATTACATTTTCTAATGTATTTGAAAATACTGAAGTTCAGTGGATGCTCTTTGTCCCCTAACTTCATTAGAGGAATAATACGAGCAATACACTGGTGCAAGAAGCCACTGTACAACAACTTCACCATGACAAATCAAGTGATTGCATAACACATGCACAAGCCTTGAAAGGCTTCTTGATTTTAATTCTGAACCAAATTTTGTAGAGTTGCTAATTGCCCCTTCTGGCATTCTTAACTAATGTAGTTAAGATACAAAGAAAGCAGAACTGAAAGCTTGTGTATACCATGAAGATGAGCAATAACCCACTTAAAGCATCAAATCATGAACCTAAGAACCTAGTCCATATGTCGATGTGAGATTCACCAAGATATGGAGTCTTTTATTTTACCTTATTCATGAATAATTAATATCCCTCTCTCTCCACCTTTAGCAAAAAGTGGACCAGCAGATGTTTCTATATATTGAGCCACTTTAACACACAACTCTAGAGGTGCTAAGGACCTAGTTATAACTCTGCTTGACATTCTCAATCACTGTAAGCATCCAACTAGTGGAAGATGCAAGAGGCTATTAGCATGGTGAAACTTGATATAACATTATCATTGTTCCCTTTACTTCTTGTAGGATTTATTAGCAAATAGTGAGTGTGCCACTGAAATCTGGTTTTGACTGAATTCTCAAGAAAGTCCTAGCTAGCAAGGATGCTCAATATACTGCTTGTGTTAATACAGATAATATGATTCTCTTCTGCCAGATACTGTTTGGCTTCTTTCAATATCATATTCCACAACTCACTCATCTGAATAGAATGTAATTTTATTCTGTCTTACTCTCCTCAAATGGACTTGCCTACTAGGGGAAGCTGTTAGTGCCAAGTTAGGAGTTTGATTTCTATTGTCAACTAATTTACAGGGAGCTAGGTTACCATACCCAGCTTTTTGGTGTTAGAGAAGTCAAATACTCATGGAACTAGTAGTGGAACAATCATTAGGGGTAGAATGCCAATAAAATCTTTAGGAAAGATAAACAATAATTAGGCACCTTATTAAGCAGGGTCTTTTCCTTTTTTTATCTCGATTTAGTTTTGCTGTCATTCTTCATATTAGAGTAACTTTTATCAATCAAAGAGTAGAAGTGTGCAATCTTAGCACTCAAAACATAAGTTGACTTATCTATGTTAAAGCTCTTAACTCTAGTAAAAAACAACAACCGTGATATTTCAAGAAATGGCAATACAAACTCATCTGCCTATAATTCCCCTGGATATTTCAAGAAATAATATTAGCAATCACATGTATTCTAATTCCATTCATATTCCCTGTTCCTTTAAAGAACTGCCATTACAAGAAAACAGTGATATGTATAAGTGTAAACCAAGTTTAGTATAAGATGGAATACACAACCTCTTTTTTGTCCATACCACTGAGGATGTCATGAAGCATCCAATGGCCGGGTGATTTATCTGAACTTCTAACTATCATGTGGAACAACTCATCATAGCTTGTCGATTCTATAAACTTTGTGCAGCTATGTAGATACAAACCTAAGGGGTTTAACACTGACTCCCATCCAGATTATTGCTTTAAACTTATCAGCAAGAGACAAAGAAAAAGCAAAGGAAGCCCCAAAAAATCATCCCAATGGGTTGATAAGCTGCTAAATGCATTACCCCGCCAGCACATTGAAACTTTGGATACAAGAACTTTCCAGAGTTATCAATTTGCAAAATTGCAGCAAAATATCGAGAAAGAAAGCTACAAGTTACGGGCAATTGCCTGTCAAGCACTGCGGCCACCACTCAGTAATCACATTAAATTGTCACTTCAGTTCCGGTACTGAATGTGACTTGAGACAATTTAGAAGAACTTCACGTTACAGATTGCCAGAATAAAATTCTTCAAGTCTACAAGTTAAATCTTGTGTTGCAAATTGCCAACTAACTGGTGGTAATGTAGCAGCAGAAAACTGAAATTGCATTGTGGTAGTACTTAGACAGAAAACCAATGTGCATGAAGCAACTAAATCAAGTGGGATAATGACAATTGGGAGAAGTTCTGTTACCCGGAGGATGGAGTAATGGAGAAAAGGCAAGAATGGCAGCCATAAGGGGTGGAGCCACGGTTTTCAAGAAGTTCAGCTGCTGTTCTTTTGGTATTTGGGCTACCTGGTTTTGCCTCCTAGAACTCACATATTTACTCTGAAAATAGATGAGAATTATCAGTGGCATGCAGCTGTGGAGATGTATATAGTAATGAAGAATAGGTAAGGGGGTACCTGTGTTGAGAAGGAACAGATGTTGGTGTTACTACTGGGCATCAAAGAGAGGAGCTGCATGTCTCTTCCGCTGTTCTGGGCAGAGAGCAGGGAGATGAGATTGGAGAGAGGGGATTAAAGAGAGGTTATCAAACAGAGACCATAAACTTGGGGTGTTTCACTTCACCAAAATAAATCCCTTTTTTTTTTCAAGAATTTTAAACTAGGCAAACATTTCTCGTCAAAAAGAAAGAAAGAATAGTATCCAAAAAAAATAAAAATAGATATATATCCTTTTGGTAATTTTTTTTTTTTTTTGTCAATTGTCATCTTTACTCCTACTCCTACTCTATTTACGGGGAGGTTTAACTGAACCTATGAAGATCAATGGGAACAAAATCACCACCGGATCAGACAGATGCATAGTGTACCTGTTTGGATTTGAAGCAGAGCCACGAGAGTGGCATTTTGATTTCCCACCCCACCAAAGCCTTAAGGGCTTGGTGGTGGCCAGCCGTGGTTTATATCCTTTTGGTTATCTATCAATCAAAAAAATGAATTTCCAAAAAGGCGCATTAGTAATTTTTATCTCTAGAGAAGAGGAGAGAAAAAAAAAGAAAAAAGCTGAGTTATCTGCATAAAGTCCAATTGTTTTGGGCTAAAAGCCTAAAGGTCAATCTTCTAGCACAGACAAAATCGATTATTAACCCCCAAATGATGGATAGCTTTGACTGGTAAGAAAACGTTAAATACAAGAAAAGCAAAAGTTGTGAAAACCCATATGTACCCCTTATCACCCGTGCATCTAAAATAAAACAGGCCACATGCTGACATGCATCACGTTATTAGGGGTACAAATGTAATTCCACTGAAGGGTCCTACCAATGTTCAATCAGTACGTATGGATGGATAGGACTCTCATAAATAATCTATGACTTTTCATTCTTCTTTGTCAGTTCTCCCTTTAACCCCACGGCTCTTCCTCCTCCGTCCACCACCACCACCAACCACCGCCGGCCACCAGAAAAATTTGCCCTAAATACTCCCAGAAGACCCCTGTAAATAATCCCTCCAAGAGTCAACTGTAAATTTTTTTATAGCAAGTAGATAAAAGTGTGCAGAGATGGCGGCGTTGTTGGAAGAATTGGTGAAGACATTGGAGGCTTTGGAGCTATGGATGAAGCTGATTAAGAAAACTCCGCAGGACTACGTGGACCCCACACTTGACCCGGTTCTTTTGGTACCCGGGATCGCTGGTTCTATCCTCAACGCGGTCGATGAGAAAACCGGAAATGAAGAACGGATCTGGGTTCGGATTCTCGGGGCGGACCATGAGTTCCGGACCAAGCTTTGGTCCCTTTTTGATCCTTCCACTGGTAATTACTATGTTTATTCCACATTTTTTTGTTAGTAGTGTACAATTTGTGGAATTTTGGGTACCGTAGTTTTGTGAAATTCGTTTCTTTATATCTTTTGGTCTTTGTCTTGAATTTTGTAGTCTAATTCCTTGCTTGGAATTACCTGGTGCGCTGAATCTGAATCCGGATAGGATTGTTTAATATTGAAAAGCTTGCTCTTTTGTTAATTTCACAGTGGTAATGGTAGAATTAAGTATGAATTATTAGTAGGAATAGGGAAAAAGTTGTTCAGGAAAAGGAAAAAAATCTGTGAATCGGGCAAGGGATTTGGTTCTAGCTTTATTAAGAGCTTTAGTTCTGTAATTGATGAGGAATAATTGTTCTTGTTCATCTGACTGTGGTTTGTAGTTTTTGCTTTCTGGTTATCGGATTTATTGGATATTAGGATGAAATGGTTGTCTCAATATGAAACAGGTGAAACTATATCAATAGACAGAGGCTCGAGGATTGAGGTACCGGAGGACAGATTCGGCTTGTATGCAATAGATGTATTAGATCCTGATATGGTAACATTTGTTCTAATGCTTCCTTTGTTTTATTTCCTATTTTTCATGGTTGAATGCTTTTGTGTTTACATTTCTTTCTTTTTGTCCATTGTTTGTATCACATGATTTGAACCATCCGAGCGGCATTGCACTAAGTTAGTATTTCAATCTTTTTTTCTTACTTCAAAACTCTTCCTCAACCACCCCCGTCCCCACTCTGATGGGTCAAGTGGCACCAGCATTTAGTAGTGTAACACATCATACTTCTGATTAAGGATAATGAGTCATGCATACACAGAATCAAATCTATCAACTTCGTCTAAATTTGCCTAACAGTGATTGCTGCATGAACTTGCATATTGGTTTTTGGTATCTACAATCAGTGCTATAAGTTCAGTGTTGTCAACAAAAGTACCATTGTAGCATTTGACCAAGACTTATTTGGGTACTGGAATAACCTGATTTCTGTTCACTTTCTTTTCTATTTTATTTCCTGTAGATTATTGGGCGTGAAAGTGTCTACTATTTCCATGACATGATAGTTGAAATGCTCAAGTGGGGTTACCAGGAAGGAAAAACACTCTTTGGCTTTGGATATGATTTCCGCCAGAGCAACAGGTAGATGCTCATTTTTATTCCATTTGACTCTATGTTCATGTTTTGCTTCCCCCTGGAGAGTAATACTGTTTAACCGTTTTATATTGCGATGTTGTCCATTGCCGCTTACTGGTTCAACTATATGTGTGAGCTTTGATGAAACACTGTATACAATTTGGTCAAAGTCGTGAACATGTTGTGGAAAAGTTTTAGATCTACTATAGCATCTAGGGATTTTGAGTATTTGAATTGCTTGGGGCTTCTTGTAAGTGCTTCCAGTGTTTGTGCTTTTCTGTCCTGTTCATGTTGTTCATGATGATATGTCTGATGTCGTATGACTTGGTGGATGGGGACGGAGGATCTAGCTTTTAAGTTTGAACATTATTAAATGGTGCAAGGGAATATGAAGTTCTCCAACTTTTCCTTGGACTTCATAATGAAATATATAGTGGTCCTGCAATATTCAGGGGCATTTTGGAGAGAGATAAATATGTTACTTTTATCACCATGCAGCTTTTTATTCATCAAAACCACTTAACAGCTTAAATTGGTGATGTTTAGCCTAGTTGTCTTATGGAACATGTTTTAAAATATATAGCTTCCATCTAAATGCTCAAAAATTTCAGACTTTGTTTCACAAATTGGTTTTGTGGTTAATTCCTCTTGGAAGCACTGAAAGTGGTGTATTGCGTACTTCTTATTTTCATGAGTTGAATCTGTTCATCCACATGATGAAGCTGTCTTACTCTTTAATTGCTTCAAAACGTTTTTGAAATTCCTGATGTCTACTTTATATTCTTGTTAGCTAAAAGTGTTGGGAAGTGACTTTTCCATGAAGCTTGTAAGATATCTCATTGTATATGTTATTCAGAATTTGTGTTGTGTCCAGACAGTCCTATCATGCATAAATCCATTTTATTTTGAGGCTATTTTGGGCTGTTCCATTCACATGAACTATTAAGTATGCAAATTTCGGTCTACTATTTTCATAGTGGCAGTGATTTGGTGACTACATGCATGATATGGGTTTAGCTTATTTTCAGAATGGAGTTTGCATTTTTTTACAAAATTGAAATTTGTGTCCAAAAGGTTGGACATTGTTTTCCTTGTTAGCTTGGTTCAGTGGTGGTTGGAATTCATCTTACTTATTCTCAAGAACGTAATACAGGAACTGTAAATGTTGGTCTCTCTGAATTTTATCCTTGCAATTGTAGAAAACAATCTTGTGACCTCTTAATATATTTAAATTTTTTGTTGGGGTTTATACACTTATTTGACTGTGGATCGCATGGGGAAAAATATGCTCTTTTCCTTTTGCAATATTGTAATGATTCCATGTTGTAAAGCTGTGGAAATCCTTGATGTTGCCAGGTTTCAGGGCACACTGGAGCGGTTTGCTGCAAAGCTGGAGTCTGTATATACAGCATCTGGAGGGAAAAAGATAAACATTATAAGCCATTCTATGGGGGGACTTCTTGTGAAGTGTTTTCTGTCTTTGCACAGCGATGTAAATTTTATGCTGGATTATCTCCCTATTTTATGTTTCATTGCCTGTGGGTTCAGTATCTCATGGTGATGCCATTCTTCTGCAGATCTTTGAGAAGTATGTGAAGAGTTGGATAGCTATAGCTGCACCATTTAGGGGTAAGTGGCTCTGACATTTTCTATGAAGATACAATGGAGGACCAAATATTGGTATATGATAAAAGTCTTTCTGCATTCCCAAGTCAATTGGTGTAGCATAAATCATTATATTGAGATTTCTTTGATCTTTTCTATTTTTCAACAATACTGGCAATCTACAAGCAAATCAAGGCTATAAGGATTCTTCTTGATGTTCATACGTTTCAAGTATTTTGATATCTGAAAATTGAGTAGAGATGGGCCCAAAGTTTGTGATTGTTTTGCACTGAAGGATATAAATATTCTTCTAAATTTACATGATTCTTCAGCTGTGAAGTAGCTCCTGCCTGCGAAAGTTTATGCTAGATTGGTCAAAGGTTTAATTCTTGCACTCTTATTTTGCTGAAAGTTCTTGACACATTTAGTGCATATCTAGATCCAGAAGGGAATGATTTTTATTGCTAGCATCATCATGCTGGTACCTGTGAATGGATGCCTTTATTTGTCAGTGAAATATTCTTCTGATCATAAAGTGAAGTGAGGCCCGGAGAGTTTCCTCATTTCAAAGATGATTTCTTATAGCTATATAGTGTAGCTTTATAAGATAATAATAAAAAAATCTTTTAAAAACTTTTCTTGAAAGAAACAACTGATTTATATATTTTTCATGCTGACTCCCTTCACAAATTAATATGGTCATAAATCTACATTGATTGCTGTCATTTAACAGGTGCCCCTGGATATATTACCTCTACACTGTTGAATGGAATGTCTTTTGTGGAAGGATGGCAGCAGAATTTTTTTATTTCAAAATGGAGCATGCACCAGTTGGTATAAACTCTTCCTTTTCTCTGTTGGCCCCCTTCTCCCTCTACATCATTAAACTTTGTTGAATAGTTTCGTAATTTGATATATCTATACTTCAGCTTTTGTTTTAAAAGTATACAGATACATTCTTCACATTAAAAAAAAAAAACTTGTGCTTTGGACTACTGTGTGCAGTTTAGATATAAGCATCCTGTTCATATTACCCTAGATAATATTGTACTAGAAAT